AAAAAAAAAAAAAAAAAAAAAAAAAAAAAAAAAAAAAAAAAATCATTGCAATTAATTCATTAGAAATTACTCTTTTCAATTCCATTTTCTCTCACTTTGAAAAGTACAGATTATGTGTCAAACCTGTTTTCATGAAAGGGGCCAGAAGCAGCAAAATTAATCACCAAGGGCTGTTTTCATTGAATATAAAGTTACAAAAAGGCCTCTGAAGACCAGACAGTGCTTCAACTACATGCGGGTGTGGTTATGGATGTGAAATACGTGAATAGCATGTGATTGCTGGCTGCATGCCCGAAGCATGCCCACACGGCCGCCTGGGCAGCCCAGCTATCTCACAGGGATTGCCTTTAAGCAAAACCATCTGTCACTGTGGTCTGAAAGGCGTGGCGTGGGCTCTGCCACGGCAGCGACTTTGGGGTTGAGCCTGCCCCTGAAAGGCAGCGCACTGGCAAACTGAGAAATCTAACTTACTGTCAGACCGGGATTTGCTGACGCTGAACTTGGAGTGGAGTTCTAGAAGGAGTATAATCAGCATCAAAAGAGATGCCAGTCTGCTGAACTTTAAAATAGGTTATTAACAAAAAGCAAAAGCTGCTGAGTAGTCTGCAATTGCATAGCTTCTAAACTATGGCTGTGGTTTAGCCTAAAGTTGCTCATCAGAACTAGCACGGGTTTCTAGAATATACACAGGGGCACAGGAGTAGGAACAGCATAAAGATCCTCAAGCAGAAACTTACACACACACACACACACACACACACACACACACACACACTCCTTGCTCAGATAACATAAGCATTATCAGTAACTTTAATTATTTGTAAAATAAGTAAAAAGCAAATGTTCCAGTTATTCTTAGTTCTTCAATCATTGGCCTAAATTGGATGTTTTTGGAAAGCAGTTTATATCTCCTTATAGATGTATTTACTTATTTTTTAAATTTTGACCTTATGACTTCTGCTCTAGGCTAACTGACGTCAGGTCGTTTTGAGCGTCTGAGTTAGAGAACCCCTGGGACAAAAAACTTCAATTATTTTTCTGTCTGGATGAGTGTCAGAACAATTCATCCTAGCAACCGCTACGAATGCACGTAATTCGGTAAAAGTTGCTCCTTGAATCAAGACATGGGCATTTGCTCCATTGCCTTGAGCTTCTTTCTAGCTTCAGTTCACCAAATCCTTTTTATTTGGGCAGAATTTAAGCCCCGTGGGTGAGGTATACACAGTCATAAGACAATGAGTAGCAGAAAGTCGACAATTAGCTAAAATATTTGAGAGGTGCAGACAACTAAGGTAAGTATTTGGGCTGCCCTTGGAAGCAAATATTCTGGCCAACTAGAGAGAAGGAGAGAAGGGTGAAATAGAGCTTTCATTGAAATACCCTGGTCTGTATTCAGCAAAGCTGGGTGAAAATATAAATACACAAAAAAGCCAAAAGGGAATCAGGATGTGATTATTTGTTTTAGAAAGGAGGGTGACGTGGGACTCTAATGTTCTCTTGGCTTGTAGTAAGATCTCTTCAAACATCATCTTGACATAAACTTTCCCCCACTTACTAAGACCCGCCTTCAAGAAGAATTAAAATTGTGTCAGTGACACAAAGAGAAATAAACCAGGGTTTCCCATCCTGCATGGGAAAACTTCTTGTCTTGTATATCACAGTAATGCTCTTGAGATTCTAACAGAAAGGTCACAGGAGAGAGGAGACAAGAAGTTTGCCTGCAAAGAGAGGACTGGAAGAGCCTAAAGTCACCTGGAGGGTGTGGACGGGAACATGGTGGCAGGCAGGAGGGACTTCGGAATGGCAGCCAGCATACACCACCACCTCATGGAAGCCAAGCCATGTCTGTGAATTGTGCATTGCAAGTGGTGAGAAGCTGCTTGTCCTGTCCTCATTGGGCCAGGACCTGCGAGAGTACCCACCTGCCCATCTCTGCCCAAACACCTCGATGAGCCCCCTCGTGTTACCTTCCTTGAATGGCCCAAACCATACAATTCCCCCCAAAACAGCATGGGTCCTTGCTATTCAGAGATGCTGTTGGGGACAAATCCAAGCCTGTCATGTGGGTGAAGCTAAGCGGTGAAATATGCCACCTGTTACAAATTCACGTCCATTCAAATAAATGTATAGACATTTAGTCAAACCATATCTTTCCAGGAGCCTGTCTACTCCATCAGGTAAGGGTCAATGGAATTGAGCCTTGGTTTTCTGAACCAAGAGGTCTTGCTCACCTAGTCCTAAGTGGATGACCATGTGATTAGATTGAGGCTGCACAAAATGAACAAAATGCTGGACACATAGATATGAGCAGATACCAAAGGAGGTAGACTCAACCCAGAGCCCCCTCCACCACTCCTTGAATGAGACTGAAGGATCTCAATCCCCTTTTTACTCCCTCGTAGAATAAAAGCATGACCGGGTACCAGCCTAGAAAGTTTCTATGTTACATGATACTACTCATGCAAACACAGCCAGGACAACATCTCTGCCCTGCTGGGCATTAATGATTTTACAACCAACATTCACTATAGTTAAATGATCACAAAAGTCCTTTTCACTAAAGTCCTCTTCAGCTAGAATGTTAAATGATGCTATTAAAGTTTAGTTGAATATCTATCTCAGGGCATTTGGGTGTAAAATTCAATATTCTGGACTTAATTTGCTGGGGGGGCTGTTGTGTGTTTTGGCGAGTGGCGTGTGACAAGCCAGGGCTTCTCAGGAATAAGGGGGCTTTAAACACAGCTGCCGCCACACTCATCATCACCCTGTGGATACGTCTATGAAGGTGTATTACAAGTTCATGGCTCTATGAATTCGTATTACATACAAGACACACTGTTGATTGATTTTGGTTCTTTTTCTTGACCTTTGACTCAGTGAATAAGAACCAGTTTGGGACTAATTTTAATGTGCTTGATAAAAAAAATCATAGCCATGAATGCTTAAATAGTATCTGAGCCTTAATATCACTGTGAGAATGTCAGTGGAAATAAGCTGGGCGTGGTGGCTCACATCTGTAATCCCAGCACTTTGGGAGACCGAGGCGGGCGAATCATGAGGTCAGGAGTTCAAGACCAGCCTGACCAACATGGCGAAACCCCGTCTCTACTAAAAATACAAAAATTAGCCGGGTGTGGTCCCAAACACCTGTAATCCCAGCTATGGTGCTGTGCGCTTGTAATCCCAGCTACTTGGAAGGCTGAGGCAGGAGAAACTCTTCAACCTGGGAGGTGGAGGTTGCAGTGAGCCGAGATCACTCCAGCCTGGGTGACAGAGTAAGACTCTGTCTCAAAAAAGAGAATGTAAGTAGAAATAAATGGTTTCTCAAGGCAGACAACAGGTCCTTGAAACCATGTTTAAATTATCTGTATATTAAAAGGAGTAGAAATATAAATATTATTCTCCCTCTCCAACCTTTTCTTGGAAAAATTTTCAAATATTCAGAAAAGTTAATAGAATAGAACAGTATAATAAAGGCCTAAATCCTTTCTCTTAGATACAACAATTATTCACGTTTTGCTATATATGCTTCCTAGATTTACCTACTGAGTTATTTAGTTATTTATTGTGAAGCCATTTGAAAGACAGTTTTTACATCACAACACTTCATTACTGAGTACTTCAGCATGCAAAGCCTAAAAGCAAGAACACTGCCATTGCAAAATACCGTTAGTGCACTTAAGAAAATAAACAAAGGCCGGGCGCGGTGGCTCACGCTTGTAATCCCAGCATTTTGGGAGGCCGAGGCGGGCGGATCACCTGAGGTCAGGAGTTCGAGACCAGCCTGGCCAACATGGTGAAACCCCGTCTCCAAAAACAAAAAAAAAGAAAATAAACAAAACTTCTGAAATATCATTTGCATCCTATTTATATTTAAGTTTTCCCAGTGTTCTAAGAATTATTCTCTATCTTATGATATAGTTTCATTTTTATGTACTAGCAGTGACTTCATTGACAGTTGGCTTCATTCTGACGTCAGAAAGCAGTACTTGAGAGGCTAATCTAATACTGAAATTAGCCTATTGGTAAATGCACCCCTAAACCCAGTTACTTGGAGGCATTTTATCTGAGAACAAAGTTTACCTGGCAGGATCACTAGAAATCTATGTTGGTGAACTGTCTATGTGTATAGCCATGTAGCCGACAATTAGCAAATGTTACTTTGAAATTTTCCCAGGTCCAAATCACCATGGAGCACTTTACGGCAGATGAGGCTGGGGTCTTGATGTTCCCCTGTTCATGCGTTAGGATAGCTCCCAGTCTACTGGAAATTTCAGTTGCAGAGTCTCCTCATTTCATGACCAAATAGACTTAAGAGGTTCCTCAGATGTTGTTGTGAGGATTATCAGACCCAGATAGGAAATTTTACATGAAAAGATGTCCATCCTACAATCCCAGTGCTCAGATCTACTTTTAAAAGCACGTGGAGGCCGGGTATGGTGGCTCATACCTGTAATCCCAGCACTTTGGGAGGCTGAGGCAGACAGATCACCTGAGGTCAGGAGTTCGAGACCAGCCTGACCAATATGGTAAAACCCCGTCTCTACTAAAAATACAAAAATTAGCTAGGTCTGGTGGCGGGCATCTATAGCAGTGAGCCGAGATCATGCCACCACACTCCAGCCAGACTCCGTTTCAGAAAACAAAAAAAACATGTGGGTACACCCTCAGCCAACAAAACAGGATACCTGCACTGCCCCTGGGCGGAGAACACCAACTTCACCATTTGCTGT